CTGCTTAGATACTGCTGTCATGGGTGGAAGTTAACTGTTTCCTTCTGGAAAATTGGAAATGAGCTTCTGTGGATCGAGTCAGACTTAATCAGCTATTCTCCAGCTGTGGCAAAATGAGAGCTGCAGAGCTTCCTGCTCTTCAGTCCTTGGGGGGCAACAGGGAGAGCAAATGGGGGGATTGATTCCTTTTGTGCAACTGGACAGATGTCTGATCCATCTGCTGCAGGGCTGATGCGAGCAGTGAAGACTCCAGAACAAGTTACTCCCTGCTTGTTTGTATTTGACATTTAGTAGTTACAGGCTGGGTTTTGTTGCGTGAGGATAAGCCTATGTACAGCGTGTTCCCTGGTGACTTGTGCTGTCATTAGGAGCTATTGCATTAGGAACTGTCAGAGCAGACTGTGGAGCTTGTTAGTTTGAATGGAAAACCACTTAACTTTCAATTGCTGTATGGTTAGCACTGTGGGACTGCACTTTACTAAGCAGACGTAATACGGCTTGCAATTGGCGTCACATACTGGGGCACTTGAATAATGAATGACAAGTAATGTTAAATGCTCTATCACAGTATCTTTGCTCAATATCTTTTGAGCTTCCTGTCGGTGTGCTGCTCAGTATATATTTGATAGGCAGCAATTTGTTTAGAGCCACATTTTTTTTCCACATCAATCTCTTAATGTCTCCTTTCTTTTGCCTGCTGCTGGACTTCATAATAATTGTTTATTGCTAGACTTCTTTAAATGTTCTTATCAATGACATTATCACTTATATTTATGTTTAGGCTCCACTTTTGGCTCTTCAGTTCTGTTTTGTGTTTTCCTGACGTGTTTCTCCTTCTGGGCTTGGAGCAGCACTTCAGTCAGCCTCAGCCAAACTACTTTTTTTTTCTTTCAGCTGAAGCCTAACCCCTGTTCTGTGCATGTGCAGCTTCTTCTCTTGTGTTTTCTGACTTCAAAAGAAACATGTACAATAAGTACTGTAGTATTACAGTTCTATAACCTGAAATAGGAGCTACATTCTAGAGAGAATTCAGATTTTACTTTTAAAGACATTTCAGTGACTTTTTGTTCTTGAAAATGCTACTATAACTATTCTTTAATGTGTGGTGTGTGTCTTATTTCCAGTATTAACTTTATCTTCTGGCCACTAGATCATGGGAGCTATTTGTCTTGCAGATTGCTCAGTCCACTGGTGTATGTGGAGCACAAATCCGCACTGACGTTACATTTAAGCAGAGATTCAGCAAAGTTTAGGTGTGTTCCAGACTTCCTCAGTTACTTTTTGAAAGTGGTTTGGAGCCTGGCTTAGAAACTAGTGGTACCCAGAGTTATGCTGGTATCCTGAAACAGGATGATCAATGGGTAGAACACCATGCTTCTGTGTAGATCTGATCTTGGTTCCAGTTCAGTTGAATGTTCCTGGTTAATTTCTAGCAGTTAATGTGTTGCTGTGTTGGGAACAAGCCACTGTATGCAAAGTAGTCCTTTTTTTCCTTAGGCTATGGATAGGGCTCCAGCCTACTAACCTCCTACAGCATAATGCAGTTGGTGAAAGTGAGAACATTTCCTAGAATCATGGAGTTGTTCGAGTTGGAAGGGACCTTTAAAGGTCATCTAGTCCAATTCTCTTGCAGCGAACCTGGACGTCTACAGCTAGATTTGTCTGCTACTGGTTATTCAGCCACACCGTAGCAATCTTCCTGAACCAGAATGTTAGGAGATTTCTAATATTGCACATAGCAGTGTATGGAAAGACAGCTTGGCTTTGTTCTTCATATCATACCATGCTGTGTTTTTATAAGGTTGCCTTTGTGTCTGAAGTCAACACCTACCTCCTGATTTACTGATCTGTGCATTGGGAAAACACAACATGTTGTGATGCCAGTAGCAAAGCTGTTTTTTAATAGTGTAAACAAAATAGGGATGAACCATCTAACACGGATTTCTTGATCAGGAAGGTGGCTTCTCTTTTGCTTCTCTGCTGTTCCCTGAGCGAAGTGTTTCGCTGATGGCCTTGTTGCTGTTCTCCTTTCTGTAGAAGGTTGGCAAATTCCTTCACTTCTTTGGGCATCTCATTGGGAAAGTGGATTTTGAAAAACATTCTAAAAATGGCAGGTTGGACTGGGAGCAGATGCACAGCATGGGTGTGAATCAACTGTTGCCAGTTTACAAAGAAGGCTTGTTGTGTGCATGCCCTCTTGTCTTTTATTTTTTTTTCCCCCTTTTTACTGGGTTGGGTACAACCTCAAACTTGGCTGACACAGGATTTCTGACCAAATGATTTTGAACATCTTATCTTCCTCCTCATGTTCCCTGAGCCCTTTGCAGGAGAGGTGAAATGCTTCTAAACAAGGTCTGCTAACAGATTTGTGGGTGGAAAGAGGACAAAATGAGTACGTGAAGAACTGCATATTTTCACTGGACTTCTAAACAAGTGGCAGTTTGTTCTCCAGATAAAGGCACGTTTCAGAGGAAAAACCTGAACAGTGAAAGTGAAGGATTTTTGGTCTTTTCCTGTAGGTGTCAAAAAAAAATTCTTGTCCAAAATAAGGAACATCAGGGCTTGCAGGCACATTCTTATTAGTATGAATAGGTGACAGGCTGAATCCCAGCTGAGTCCTCATGCCATACAAGAGAGCATCTGAGCCAGTGGAACCTAAAAGGTGAGATTTCAGTGGAGGGGTTTGTATTCTAACTTTGGGTATTTCACAGGTTCATTCAGTGAAGATAATGCTGCTCCTATGCAGGGAGCTCAGCATGCAGAACAACCTAAGTTATGGCTGGGTGAAAACTTTGACTAATCAAGACCCAAGACAAAGCTAACTGAAGACAAGAGCCTCTGTGCTTAGCAGTTTTCAGCTTTCTTTTACCTTCTCTAAGAAGAGTATTCTTGTGTGAAATGTTGGGGAGATGTTATGCAACTAGACTTCTTTTTTTTGTTTGTTTGTTTGCTTCTGCTGGATGCTTCTTCTAGCATCCAGGCTGGATGTGGCTCTGGGCAGCCTGGTCTACTGGTTGGGAACCCTGCATGCAGCAGGGGGGTTGAAACTAGATGGTCATAATGGTCCTTTTCAACCCAGGTCACTCTACGATTCTACAGTTCTTTTTCTATTTTGTTAATGTGTGCTAAGATCTTGTGTTTTGTAAATACCATGAGCCAGATAAAGGTTTTTTGGGGAGGAAGAAACTGTAGGTGCCATTCTGAAGAAGAGTGGAGCTGGTCTTATTGCTTGCAACTGACACACGGGGCTATCAGCTCCTTTCTCTGCTCATGAGCGTGTTCTTCTCCTCCTTTTTCCTTGGCTCTGGCACTCATCCATCCCATAGATTATTTATGCTCACTGCTAACCAAACACAGCCTTTTTTTCTTGCCAGCTTAGTTTTCAGTCTGTTTAGCAGTTATCTTAGTGATGCCCAGCTCCTCTGCAATGACGAAGATGGAAAGTGTGTGGCTGAGTAGAGCGGGGAGTTGCCCCCCTGGCTGCAGCCAGCTGTTGGGTAACTCAGCACACAGCACTTCCCACAACTAAGGGATACTGTGCACCCATCTGGTTGTTTCCTGTGCAGTTCTGATTGTGCAAAGCAAACCCTTGTTGTGCACAGATCTGTATCATCTTTCTGTTCTTCTGTGAGAATCCAGAAGTAAGATACTAAGTGAAAGCCTATCCACGTGGCTGTTTGAGCTTAGAGATATAGATAAGATAGTTAATTAAAAAAAAAAAAATAAAGCTGATAGATATTTTTTCTTGCCTGAACATTAAGACTGAAAAAAACAAATTCTTTATATTTTTGTTTACTTCAATAATTGCCAGGTACAATTTGTAATCTCCACATCAACCAAATTCATATAAGAAAGTTTCTTGTTTTTTTTGCTGCTTGTCAAATACAGAAGTGTTTGGTTTCTCCTCATTGCAAGTTAGGAAGAATGATATTTCAGCTTTTCTAAATTAGCTGTGTTAGTATTGAGATGTTCTTTCCCTGGTAGCCTTGCTTTTCCAAGGCTAACACTGCTGGAATTGGTGCTTTGCAGTCATGCCTGCTTTGGTCATTCTTTAAGAACTTCTTAGTGCTGCTGACATTACTTTGTGCTGATTGATATCTGTAAAAAAAAACTTAATAGTCAATTATCTGCTGATTAAATCATGTCAACCAATGTCTGAAGGGGTTGCAGAGCACACACCTGGAAAACAAGCTTGGGCATCTCATTCTGGGGCAGAGGGAGCAATAAAACCTAGCTCTGAGGAGACTGTCTTTAATCCAGATGCACACACACACAGAATATAACATCCAATAGATTGTGAAAACAGAACTTGCACAAGAAAAGTGTTATTGGTCAGTGATTCCACTTATTTCTGGGTGTGATTCAAAGAGGTGATTTACTCCATAAAATGTGGTTTGTCACACAAGGTGATGTAATTCACACCATGGCTGGGGGAGAAACGAAGCCTAATGCTTCTAGGGAAGGATCTAAGTTATCCTATTTTTGTATGCAGTAGAGAAATGATTTATGTTCAGAATTCAGCCTCATTTGTTCAATATTCAATATTTTAATTTCCTCTGTATTGAGTTTGCTAGAGCACAGAGTCTGATTTTTTTATTAAGCTTGTTGTTCTATGCTTGCAAGTTGCTGCAGCTCCCCTGTTTTTTCCATTTCCCTCTCCTGCTGCTTCTCCAGTACTAAAACAGCTGTAGCATCAGTATCTACTGAATGCCCTTCCAAGAGTCCTGTGTGTATGTACACTTTACATTTTGGCTTGTTCAAAGACTCACAGTTCCTTGTGATCACGGGGTGTTTACAGCCTGCCATGAGGATTTTCCTTCTCTATCAGTCTCATGGGTGTTAAGGCCTGCATTGCTGCCACTGCTTTCCCTTCAGGAAAGTCTCCAGCCACTGACAGATCCTCCTGCTTCTCCTCCCAGTAAACTTCTGTACTGAGCGTTTATAAAGTATACAAATCAGCTCTTCTAGTTTAAGCTAATGTGTTGAACTGTTTTCTCTAGGCTCTGTTTTGGATATTATAAAGCACATTGTGGCCAAAGGAGAACACAAGACCGGTGTCCTGGATGAGCCCTGTATAGCCACGATCCTCAAGGAAGTGCTGGAGGGGCTGGATTACCTGCATAAAAACGGACAGATCCACAGGTATTTTTCATGTTTCTCATCACTGTCCTGAAGTGTGCACCACTGGAACAGCAGTTGAGCTGGGCTGACCAGAATGCATATGCTCTTAGGATAGAGGGAATGGAAAGGAAAGATGGGGCTTTACTGAAACTCAGAGTTCAGGTTTCTGTGTGGCAACTACTTCTATAGAAAATATATGACGAGGACAAGCTTGGATAAACCTTGGGATATCTGAAGTTCTTGTATAGCAAACCTTTTTCCAAATGTCAAGATCCAGCTACAACGAGTGATTATTAGAGCTGGAAAAGCTTCAGCTGGTCTCATTTCTTGCAGAGCTACAAATCACTCACTGTGTGAGTGCTGTGTAAGAAATGTTGGACAATTTAATAAGGAGTCCTTCAAGCCTGGTTGTTTTTTGTTCTTTTTAAGTCAGGATGCTGCAGAGTGAACATCATGACATTTAAATTTGGGTGTTTTCATTTAAAAAAGATGGAAACAAAATTAGAACTGAAAAACTGTTCTGTGGACAAAACCCAGTTAGTTAACTAATGGCCGTATGTGGTTTGATGGATCACTGAAACATGGGCTTCTGTGTTGCTCTGTCATTTGGGGTGTATTTTTAAAGCATGTTTTCCTGTCCCCTGGTGTTTCAAGGTGTGGCGTAGTTTAGAAAGAAAGGGTGCTGATTCAATATGTTCTGTCATTTAAAATAAATAAATGTACAATCTTAAGTATGCACTGAAAATAGAACATATGGCTTGTGGGTCATATACGTCATCCCAGCCACACGCTGCTGCTGGGAACAGCAACCTCTTCTTTGGGAATTCTGTGAGCTTGGTTGTCTTCTGGTACAACGCCATTATAAACTTGCTCCAGCACAGCAGCAGCAATGCTTGTCCTCTTGCTGCTCGAGAAGGGGTAACTCATTGTACCAAAATGTTGTTTTAATTAGAAAATCCAAGAAGCATTCATTTCATAGTTTTGATCAAACTGAATGGCCTTTGTGGGATTGTTTCTGGTTAAAAAGAAACAAAAGGTTGGAAGCAACTTTGGAATGGTTCATTTCCCTGAAAGAAATCTCAAATTTCAGTTTCCAGTCTCCATTACAATTCCTATTTAACAAGAATAGTTGTTTTTGCTGAAGACAGTTCTGATTCACAGCTGTTCACTTAACTTTCATTTTTAGAAATGACTTCAGGCAGCTCTAGGAAGGTAATGTAATAGAACAGCTTCCTTGCTGAGCAAGGGTGATTTTTTTTTTGCACCCTTTCCATAAATAATTGACCCAACCATGTTCATCTGTGACTTCCAGTTGATTTTTTGCTCATTTAATTCATCTTGTCCAATTAAATTTAAATGTAATGTGTTAAATTTCATTTTTTTCTGAAGATGTCAGGTAGGGATTTCTTACAAAGAGATGTTTCTCCATGTGCCTTGCTGTAGTGGAACAGCAAGAACTAGTAGTCGTGGTGAGGATTGGAGCTACATGGATACGTGTATTGGGGCAACTCCAACAGTGAAGTGTTTGGATTCATGTGTTGTGTGGGGCACAGAGTGGTCTGGGAAACCTCACTATGCTGAGAAATCTGGAGAAGTGGTAACCGAGGTATGGAAGGGAAGTTGTGTATAAGTTTCCTACCTGTGAAGCAATGCATGGGTTTGTAACTAGTGGCTGGGAGCAAGCTTTACATGCCTCTGAGGTAAGAGATGTGCTTCCTTAACAGAGTTAATCATACTGGCTTGCATTTGATCCAGATGTGTGGGATAAACACAGCTTAAAGTTGTATGAGGAAAGGTCCCATCTGCACTACATATGAATGTCTGTATGGTTTTCACATTTTGCTTAACACGAGGGGTCATAGCAGTGGCCATGCCTGATGGGGAATGCAGATGGAAGCCTTGCCAAAGATGCTTTGAGAGGAAGTGTTTAAAATAACTAAACTTTGGTCCCCTGGGTCAGATTAAAGCATCTGGCTCTAGAGGAAGCAGCATCAGGTGATGGCTGAGCTGCTGAGCATGGTGTCTGTGATGAAGGGCAGAACCTCAGACCAGAACACAGTCAGCTGTGAAGGGTCAGAACTGAAAGTGACGTTAGGTATTGAACAACAAACCCAAGGCAAGCAGCAATCCAGCAAAGTATGGAGCTCAGCTGGTTACAAATGCAACTGGGCTATTATTTACTGTGTCATACCTTGGTGAAAATGACAAATTCATTAAATTAGGGACAAGGTCTGAGTGAGGAAAAAAAAAACAAACAATTAGCACACCTGTGCTTGGACAAGCAAGCTATTGACAAAGCCCTAAGGATAAATGTGTGGACCCAACTGTTGACCTGAAGTGGGAACAGCTTGTTACTGCTGTAAGTAATCAGTCAGAGCAGAGCAAACGTATATCCGATGGTTGGAGCTCAGTGCTTCTAAATTATGTATCATGTTAAATGGGTAAATTAAGTTAACAAGTGGAAAACTGCCTTAATGAAATTCTGCTGCTGCTGAATCTTACTGTGTATAAGCTTGTCTTGAACTTAACGCCGCTTCCAATTACGGTTTGGGAAGCTGGCTTCACAAGGGAGCAAAGGGACAGGAGAGTGGTTTGACAGCATTCTCTAGAGGAGATCAGAAAGGCAAATATCTAGAGAAGGCTTAAATTCTATTTTTTTTGTTTATTTTCCTAATTAACAAGCAGAGCTAGGCTGAGGCTTGAATAGATGCCATTGTTGAGCAGCAAATGCTTTGGTTTCCCACACTGTCCAAAGTTGTATCTTTTGCAAGGGTTGAACAACATTTGAGGCTGTATGGAAAGGACAGAGGAGAAAGCAGAAATAGGTTTTTATCTTCCTGAAGCAGTTAACAATTGCAGATAATTCCCATCATCCTTCAAAACCAGCACTGTCTCCCCTATCTCGGGGCTGGCACCTCTGCCTGAGTTGCCATGTCCTTGTGCCAGCTGCTGAGGTCACCACTGTGGTTTTCTGTGTCACCTGGCGATCCCAGCAGCACTCTGAAATCCCACTGCTCAGTCTCATGCTGGGGGAGAATGGACTTGGAACCCTTTCTATGGAGCTGTCCTGCAGGATCCTGCTCAGCTGCTTTTATGGAAGTGGACCAAGAGCAATGTGCTGTGCTGCACTCACGCTGATCTTGCCCGGGTGACACATGGGGTATGATGAATCTCTCTCTGTTCGGGCTGCAGTTCCTCACTGGATCTGGGAATTAGTAGTTATCCAGCAGTTTGAAGGACCTGGGAATAAAGTAAAAGCAACCCATGAGTTTTGGTTTGTTTTTTTTTGGAGGGAAGCTCCAAGCATTTTCAAGTGGTGCTCTTTTATGGCAATCTGACTACCATATCATGCTGATTAACTGTTACAAGGGCTCTCTACTTTTCTCCCTATTTTTATCCCTGAGCTTGTTTTCTGTTTGTGATTAGTGTTGTGTAACTGAATATTTCAATTAATCCAGGTGAAACGATACGCTGCTGGAGCGTTTGCATATAGTTAGAGTCTCTTGTTGCAGCACAATGAATGTGATACTTGTCCTTCTGTAAAAACAAAAAAGCATAGGCAGTGCTTTGGGGTTGCACACACTTGGAGTACTGTCATGGCAGTGATCCAGTTATAAACTTGCTTAGTGCTCTACTTGTAGGGTGGAAGAGTGCAGCAGCACATTTGATACACGAGGTTAGATTAGCTTCTGCTCCAACACAACTTCACTGTTTGCTCCAACTGTATTTAACAATTTCTGCAAAAAGTGTTTGCATGCAAGTTTATACCCATATATATCACCAATACATGTTTGTCTGTGTGGTTTTGCAGTAATGCTCTTCTGGTATTGAATTGGATATAAAATGAAGGAGCTGATGGATGTGTTTTGGCAGACCTCAACTGTCCTACAGGATTCAAGCTTAATTTTCATGTAGCTGATTAATGCATTGATATCTGGGCTGGCAGGTACCGTGGTAAAACTGGATTTCAATATGTCTCTTAGCATTTTGCCAACTGAAATACTGTAGTTCTTTGTTTCTGTAGCAGTGCTGTAGGAAAACTTCATGGCCCCCTTCCAGCTAGGGCTGTAATCTTGTTTTAGGGAACATATTTTCAAAGTAGAATTTTGTAGGGAAGGAGCGAGGCGTGATGATGTGGAGCCATTCACCTCTAATTGCCAGTTGGATTTTGTAAGTTGGTACATGAGTAATTGGAAAGCTAGCCACTGCTCAGCCATGGGAAGTGGATTGCCCCAAGTCACAGAGCCTGGTAGACTGTATCCTGATATAGAAAATTGGCACCAAAGCATGGGAAAAACATTGTGTCCCTGGGTATGGAGAAGTGCTGGGCAAACACCCCTCTCAGCCAGGGTGGGAGGTGAAGATTTGAACTCCAAACTGGTGCTTTCTGGTGACTTTATACTTAGGGGAGTGTGCTTAGGTCTTTTATTCCTTAAAATAAAGGATGTATAGAAATAGCCTTTAAAGGCATCTGTTAATGAAGATTTCGCAGTCTTAACTTTATAAATGGTTGAGTAGTCTGAGCAATGGTGGTGTTATTTGTGTGCTTTCACACACATTGGTGTGGGCAGGCAGAGAAGATGCTGCTCTGCTTTGTACCCAGAGATTTTTGTCCCCCACGTAGAAACCTTGCTGGGTGATACTGAGAGCACAGAGCACTGAATCTCCTCTCTGTATGCACTGTTATTAGGCTGGGCCGTATTGTGGTTAGTTGGCAAACCAGCTTCTTCTCCTGCAGCATTCGTAGAACTATAGAATGGTTTATGTTGGACAGGACCTTAAACCCCATCCAGTTCCAACCCCCTGCTGTGGGCAGGGCTGCCCCCCTACCAGGTCAGGCTGCCCAGGGCCCCATCCAGCCTGACTGTGAGCACCTCCAGGGTTGGCATATGTGGTTTCTCTGGACAGTCTGTGCCAGTGAGAAATCCTTTTTTCTTTTTTTTTTTTTTAAAGAGGTAAAAAAGGTGACCCTGTGGTTCAAAAGGAAAATATGAACCAGTTATAAATCTCAAATCTGCAGA